ATCACCACAGAGGAGCAGCACACATGGCCTCTCCCAGAACCTGAATCTCAACACAAGCCTCTGCAAGTGACAGCTCAGGAGGAAAGTGGTCATATGAATTCTACTCAGCAGCCTGAGTATGTGACTACCTGGCCTGTAGCACAAACACAAGCACAACAGCAGCCATCTGCCAATTCCTGGCATTCAAGTCATGTACAGCCCCAGGAGCCACTTCCACATACTTGGACCCCTCAAATTCAACCATCCTGGAGTCAGTCTCAAGGCGAGACACAAACCCAGACACCTGCTCAGCCATCCTGGGCCCAGCCTCGAGAGCCAGCACGGTCTGAGCCACAGGCTCGTTCACACTGGACACACCCTCATGAGCAGCCACACTTACAGCCAATACAGTCATCTTGGAATCAGCCTGAGGAACCAGAGCAGCAGCCACCCCAGGCCTCATGGATTCAGCCATCACAAACAGATACTCAGCATCAACCAGCATGGGTGCAACAACCCCAGCAAAAATCCCAAGCACAACCTTCCTGGGTTCAACAGCCAGAATCCACGCCACAGGCATCATGGGGTCAGCAGCCACAGTATCAGGCTCCACAACAAGCATGGCCACAGGCCCAAGTTCTTAGTCAACCTCAACCATCCTGGATCTCAGCTCAGACTCAACAGCAACCACAGTCTTCAGTTAATGCATGGCCTCCATTACAAGCACAAGAACAGGCTCAGCCACAATGGATTCAAACAGCCCAAGCACAACCTCAAGTACAGCCTCAAGCCAATTTGAATACTTGGGCACCAGGACCATCTCAGGCTCAGTCCCCACCATCATGGGGAGGGCAACATCCAGAACATGGTCAGCACACCAGGAGTTCTTGGGCCCAGGAGCAAAATCAGACACAGCAACAAACATCTTGGACTCCATCAGTTCCACCTCAGTCCACAGCCCAACCAAAGTTGCAGCCACCCACTTCACAGCCAAAAGTGAACACGTGGTCTCCAGCTCAGACAACTGGGAACACCTGGACACCACAGCCACAGCAGCCACCTGTGAATGTTTCCACATTAACAGTGAATCCACATCCTCCTCCAAAGTCTTGGCACCCATCACAACATGCCCCAAAGACCCGGACCACTCCACTGCAGCCACAGCACCTTCACTCGTTTACAGTTGGTCAAAGAGCTTCATCATCCATCAACCCTATGGCCAGTGTATTAATCCCATCATCTTCAGGTTCAGCTTATGAGATGCCAGCTGTCAGAGGCAAAGGAGCTGATATGTTTGCCAAGAGGCAGTCTCGTATGGAGAAGTTTATCGTGGACTCAAACGGGGCGGGCCGCCCGCCGTCACCGGCTGCTTCCTTACCAAATGAGTGGAAATATACTTCCAGTGTACGTGCTCCACCTTCACGTTCATATAATCCTATTCAGTCCCCCTCCTATCCCCCTGCAGCAACAAAGCAGCCCCCCTCAAGTAGCATTTCATCCAAAGCTAAGAAAAAAGAGAAACAAATGCCTGCCCGTAAACCTCTCAGTGTTGTAGAAGTCATGAAGCATAAACCCCATCAGCTTAGCTCCTCACTCTTTACCTTTGGCCCAGCAGCAGAGGTCCCCAAACCCCCTGTACCTAGGCCTGATCCTTCACCTCCTAACCCACCTGCTGAAAGCCAGTCAGTTAAATATGAGCAAACGGCCCCTGTTTACTCAGCTGGACCGGTTCATGCTCCATACCCTCAGCAGGCCTATGGGATGCCCATGCAACCTATCATGCATGATGATCACTACCAGCACTCCCCAGTTTATCCTTCTCCCAGTCCTTATCAGCAACCACCTGGAGAGCCATACCAGCAAGCCTATAACCAACAGTATCAACAACCCGCCCCACCTGCTTATCATCCCCAAGCTGCTGGGTCTCCAAACCTCCCCTATCAACAGGCACCAATGGCCCCTTACCAATCAGCCAGCAGCCCTCCCTACCTGGCAGCTCCCTCCTTCAGTAGCCATGCTGCTCCTAGTTTTCATTCAAGGCCTGAATCTGTGTCAGGTGGCAGCACTGCAGCCGCTCCTAAGCCGAGGTTTACAGCTAATAAGAGCTCAGCTCAGGTGTGGAAACCTACAGCAGTTGATAAAGAGTGATTCTGGTAGAATAATTATTTGGCTGCTTGAATCAAAGAGTCGGTGCCCAATCCACTGCCAAGTGGGATATTTTAAGCTCATAAACTTGATTTTTCAGTGACTGCCTTAATTTCCATCTGCTCTTGTCATTATCATAGGACAGAGTTTGATGGTTTTCAAAGTTTTGAGAGCAAATGGAAATGGCCTCACTAGCAAATTAAAAACATAAGAATAAGCACAGGATGTAAGTATATCTTATCAGGTAAAAAATGAAGCATTTAAATGGAAATTATGCAAATGGTTCTTTAGAAAATTTATATAAATTTAAGTTATGTAAAATAATTTAAAGTGGTGGCACTATAAGAATGTAGGGTATGATAATGTAGATTAAAAGGAGGGGAAAGAGAAATCAGGGAGTGATAATAGACAGTGACAATAGAACGTTGACTTTTGAAAAGAATAAAATGCTAAATGTGCTGAATGTTGCTTGATAAGCAATCATAAAACAAGTAAAATGCAATAACTAAAAGCACTAAGACTAAAACTAAAGTAGTGAGGGGAAATGGGTGGAGTCTGTGGGGTGTAATGATACCAGGCAGAAGGTTAAATTTGCTATGTCAGTGATGTCATAAGTACAGAAATTATATAACACCTCGGCGGAGTTTGAAAAGAAGAATTCAGCAATACTCGATGCAAACTAACAGTAGCTTGTTTAAACATCATGTGCTTGATTAGTAAATGTTTTTCTTCAGTACTTTTTCCCGAGTGTCTTTTCAAAACTTAAGTGAGTTGTTTTATTTTAAGCTTTTGCCAGCTGTTGCATCATGGTAGATACTATATTTAAACTGCCTCATGAGAGGGACTGCTGAATTCCATAGATAGTAGGCTCAAATTTGAACTCAAGCCAGTGAAAGCTACTGATTGTCAGACTCATACATAATTTTTTCTGATCGTAGTATTGCCCAGCCTCCTAGTTCAGCTCTTCCAAGCGTCTTTCTCTGCATTTGTTTTATATGAATAGATGATAATTGATATGCGAGAGAAGGATTACCAGCCCAGTAATGTTCACAGGTATATTTTTGGTACAGGGCTGCTTTTGGTCTTCATGTGATTTTCTTTTTCTTTCTCTGTGTGTTTCTCTTCATAGTGCACTTTCTGTATGATTCACTGCAGTGTCATTAAAATGTCTTTTATCCTGTTCTGGCTTTCCTTCCTTTTGTCCCGTGACCATGCTTTTTGGGTTTCTTCCATTTTTTTGGTCTCGTTTCTTTTCATCCTGCTGTATTTCACCACTTCTCCACCTGTACTGTAAATACCTAGAAAGCTGTTCTCTGTTTGCTCAGATGAAAATATAAATATATGTTAAATTCCATTACATTTGCCCAACACGTACACTCACAATCTTTCAGCAAAAGCAGCAGTTCAAGACAAATCAAACAGAATACAGTTTGTACTCTATAAAGAGCTTGTTAACATCAGCCCAAAACACCTCAAAAACCTAAATCACATACATTTTTCAGCAACTGAAGCAAATGCTTTAGAGACACATTCCTGCAGAATGGCTACCTGGTGATGCATTCATGAAGGGTATTATTAGACTAAATACAGATGACCTCACTGGATATTTCTGGAGGTCAAGTAAGTGGGCAGCTGTTGAAATGCATATTCATGTTGCATCATGCACTTTTAGAAAGGCCATTTATGTGTTAAAATCAAATGGTATATCAAGTTGGCAGATTTCTGCAGCTATATCTGGAGCAATGTGAGTTGACCCCTGTTCTCTTATTGGCTGAATATACATTGATCTTTATCTCATCCGCCCTTTGTTTTGTAATGCACACTGAAGACATATCTACATCGAAATGTTAATGTCGTTACATAAATACACTTAACCATGTTGTTCATACTCAAGGTTCATAGGCCGCACAGTACTGGGTTGGTTCCAGTGTCAGATGTACACCACTAAACTTTTTTAACCAGTAGTATAAATAGATTTTATCAGATACTGTTAGATGTTTTATTCACAGCAAAGCAGGAAGGATGTTCTACATATGGATGATATTAAGAGCCTTGTTGAATTCAACCTCCCACTCTCAATTGTAGACAAACAGTGTGAGGCAAATATATAGTCATCTAGGCAGAGAAAGTATGACCTTAGACTGTCTACTAATCTACTCATCCACTGTCTGCTCTAATGCTGGAAATCACCACTACAGTGATACCAGATACCCGAGTCAACAGAGAATTTACTCACTCTTTACTTATTCAGCGTCTTCTATCTGTTCTTTGACTGCCCTCTCTTTTGTCATGTTCCTCAATTTGTGCCATTTGCTGATCTTACACTTCTTTCACCAGATGGGGGCAGCACTGTCAACAGAATGTACTGTAAGCGACAAGGAAAGGTGCAGAGGTGCTTTTTCACCTCATATATCCCTCGGCTGTCCAATAGAGACGTGGCCATGATCTCACTGTTCACTTTCATAGTTGCTGTCTTCCAAAGCAGAGCCAATGAAAACAAGTTAAATGTGACATACTTTGGGAAGTCATACATATTTATACATGAAGGATAAAAATGTATGTTTAGAGTATTACAGCACTTAAAAGAAACGTGCTGCTATGGCGCTATTCTCCAGCACTTCCCAAGCTGATTTGGTTTGGCTGGCAGGCCAGTCAGCCGAACAAAAATGAACCCTTACTAAAATAAACATGTCTGCATCTGTTCTTTACAGGCGCCTGGCAGGAGCTACTCCCTTTCCCCACCAGTCAGAATACCATCCACAGGCCAGAGGTCAGCTTCCTTTTCCCCTAAGCCTCTGGCTCAGGTCTCTACAACTCCCCCAGGAAGGCAGACGTCCTTGGAGAAAGGCCACAAACCCCTTACACCCTGGGAGGCTGCTTCCCGGCATCCTCTGGGCCTGGTGGATGAAGCCTTTACTGTCCAGAACTTCCAGCAAACCCTTGCCTCAAACATCTGCTTGGCAGCCCAGCGCAAACTGCTGCCAGAACCGCCAGTGGAGTGGAAGCCCCGGGTGTCTCACCAAGCCCCAAAGAAAACAGGCAGCCAGACTTGGAGCCAGAGCCAGAGTCACAGCAAGAGTCGAGCTCCACTGCCATCTTTTATGTCTCCGACAAAGTGCACTGTGTCTGCAGTTCCTGATGGCTACAGGTCCGCAGCCTCAGAGGCCTGTGACACAAGAAGACCTGGGGTCCTCAGTGTCCTCTGAGCATGAGAGGCCCTTAGGAAAGCAAACTTACAAGTCTGTGTACACCAGCAACAATTGGAGTTGGAGGCGGTAGGATAGATCTCTCTGGGACCTTAACACATTCAAGTGCAGTTAGGGCATCTTCTTTAATTCAGTGTCTAAACAACCCTTGATATGGTGAGAGAACAGACCATGAAGTGGACACTTGGAAAGATTGCTAGAATTCTCCTGGTTAATTTTTACAATGCCTCATATTTCTTTGCTGTTGAATCTTTTGGGTTTTAGTTGGTAAAATCGTTGCATGCCATAATCAAATGTGGAAAAAGAGGCGGTTACTCTAACAACATATGAAGACATGAAAATTATGAGTAACATTTAACTAACAACTTTCTAGTTTGGTAAATACACTGAAGTGGGCTGAGTAGGTTGTTTAGAATGGATATAGTGAGTATGAATGGAAAAGGAATATGTGACAATAAGAGGAAGAAGCAGGGACCCATCTATAGAGAGCGTCAAGTGGAGATTATTTCTTGAGTTGTGTTGATCTTCTAAGTTTCTGCTGTGAGTGTATGTATTTAGCACACTGGCTCTTGCAGTGATTGTGCGCTTTTCTTTACTGGTTTTGTTTGATTTTCAGCCCACAACACTTGAGAACAGGCACATTCATGGTGATTCCAGATTAGGGAATCCTTTCACTGTCAGAATGTAATTAGTGATGTTTTAGAAGTGCATCTTAAAACTTTGGGAAAGGTTAGTGCTGTAACTCAGCGCACTGTGGGCGGACATGTTATGTAAGCACTAATAAGTGCGATGAATTCACTTATTTACTTGGTGCATTTTAATTAGAGAGAGATTTTTTTAGTTTTCCAACACTGTTTTCCGTAGGCGCCTCGAAGAGCAAATGAAATGTTCTGACTCTGCTCTCTGTGTATGACAAAAGAGATGCAGTATGAAGCAGTACAGCGGTGGGTTTTGGTGGGAGTGAAATTTAAATCAAGAAATGCAGATGAAGTCTTATAATGAATAAAACAAAGGTTGTTCCAGTATAGGTTTGATGGCAGTAGAAAAATTGCTTGCACTATGTAAAGGGCTCCTGTTTGGTCTGGGCTTTTGCAGGTAGTGAACACTAGTTAGGTGTTTCCACAGTGTAGCCTACAGTCTAATATACACCCTGACATGCTTTAGTGTATCTGTGATAATTACACTATATTGCTTCCATTCAAACAATAATCAGTGTCTGTTTCAAACTACTTCAGATATGGATTCGCATACAGCAAAATAAATACAGAGACACAGAACTCTTTGTGTTTGTACTCTTCACTGTCTGTTCCAAGCTTGAAATAGTTCACTCTGGGCCATTTGTTGCTTGCTGTACCATCCCATGCGATTTTTTTTTTTTTTTGTATGATGTGTTGTTTTGAATAGCTACTCACTTTGTATCCAGCAGACTGGAGTGGTGGGGACTTGTTTCCATGGTGACCACCAGTTACATAACACTGGGTTCCTATAGTGGCCGAACCATTAGAGAAGGAGAGATAAGGAGGGCACAGAGAGAGATGATAAACAAATTGTTTCTCTGCCGATTTAGAGCTGAAAAACACTGTGGGACTCAAATACTATTAAAAGAGTGTGTGAACATGAGCAGTGCATCGTAAAGTGCATAACTGGAACCCACAACTTGAAAATATGAAGGCATAGTTTTCCTGGCATTCCCGTGCACCAATGAACTTGCTGCCTTTCCGCCCTCCTGCCCAGCTGGGTGCTGCACACTGAACCTCACTCCTTTTAGTTTCCTTTTTATTTTTAACCAAGTACAGAAATATAAAGAAGTCAATTAAACTTAGAACGGTCATTTGAAACATACAGATTGGCTTTTGAGGTGAGTGCACCCTATGAGGCCTTGGTCCCTCCTACAGAATATCACATGATAGATTTTCAAATGAAACATGATAGTGTTTTTCAAGTCATTAGTAAGGCCTTACAGTTGCCTCAGTGTGGATACATACTGTATGTTTAATCCAATAGTAAATTCTATTTCAACCATTTTTTCCACAGTAACATACACCTAAGTACAAGTCACCCTGTTGGGGAATCACTGATCCTGAGCTAATAACACTAGTAGACAGAGAGCTGGTGGACAAGAGAGCAGGCGTGGCAGTGATCTAAATTTAGTCGCCTCTTCACTTGTGAACTAAATACCAATGACAACACACAAACTGACACCCACCCGCTCACTGAGTCACTCAGTCGGTTGGGCCGCCCCCCCCCCCCCCCCCCCCCCCCCCCCGAACAAGCAGCGGTGTCGTGGAGTGCGAGCACCCACACGGGTCGCACTACCCAATCCGACCCTCTTGCCTTCTAACCTTGAAGAGACGGGCACGACTTCAGCTGCCACCTGAGAGTCCTTCAGGACAGGTAAGCCTCCACTCGGGCCTCTCACCAGGTGTGCTGTCCACGTCTAATGTAACACTGACACTTTAAATCCAGCATGAATCTCACTACCACCTCCAGTTGTTCCTCCACATTTTGCTGTCAGTCACACAGCTTGTCTTGTGTTAGTTATATTTATTTTCAGAATTTTCTTACATGATTGATATTTTCAATAAATCATTTTGGTTTTACTGCTTGAAGATTTTATGTGGGATGTAAGTCAAAATAAACTGCACATATGCTGTAGGCACACACCAATCCCAACACATTTAATGTTTTTAATTTGGCTAAATATGCTTCAACAAAATCATATAAAACTAAAACAAGATTTTGAACTAAAGATCTGAAAGATGAAGTGATTTGCATGGCATGTAGACTTTGACACTTGTTATGAAAAACTTCTTTGTTCCATTCAGAAACATTGAGAAAAGTGTTTGATTAGAATGAAACATTTGTGTTTTCTCACACCTTGGTGTGAACTTTCCGCTGTGCTATCTCATCCACCGTGTCACGTGTTTGCTGTGACTGCACCACATTCTCTACCCGTGTTCTTTCAGCCCACTTGGGCAATTTCAAACATATTGATTCTCACATCCTGACACAGCTGCTTGCTATGTCTGAAGAGCATGTGCTTGGCGTTTAAAGGCTCAAGGTTATTTAAAGGGATCTGCTAACTTTGCCCTTTTCAGTCCCCCAATAAATTTTGTCTGCTTCTTTGTGCATGGTGTGCGTGCTTGATGCTGGCCAGTAGATGGCAAGCATGCAGCCATGTTGTCTTTCCTTTGTGTCCTGTTGAATGTTTGAACAGGTTGTATTGATGTGGGCCGTCTCTTGTGTCTTTTTGCTTCACCCTGACTCCTCAGAGACAGCTATGTCACAGTTTTCTACCATGACAACGAGGGAGAGGAAACTGCAGGCGGCAGCAATCTGCAGGGAGATTCAAGGCCCAGAAGGTAGAGGGCCTCTGTTTTTCTCTTCCACATGTTGCATCTTTTTTTTATTTCTGTTTCCATCTCACGTTCTCCCCTTTTCCTCACATCCAGCTCCTTTCACCCCTCAACCTTCACCTTTTATCACACATACCAACATAGACATGGATTTAACACCATAACTTAATTTAAAAGTAATTCGCAGCCATTAAAGTTTAACTGTGAACATCAGCTCACTCTAGCAAAACACACACATATTCTGGACACTGCCACATTCCCTTTATAGAAGGTATGAGCCTGCTGCTGGCCAGTGCAGCAGTTGCCATTCATCCCTCCTGTAACCCTGACTATAAATAAGCATGGGGGCAAAGTTTTAAGGGGCAAAGTAACAAATCCCTTTGTCGTTGTGCTTTGAATGTGCTATTTCAGGGCGAGGACAACTGTGTGGCTCTCTGGCATAGTGTGTCTGAGGGCCACTGACAGATATTCTGGCAAATTATGTCTCACACTCTGATATAGGCCCATGACATCTTTCACCGTATTGGCAGGAATACAAAGTCAGCAATACATGTAGAGGGCTTTTTTTTGCTGTAGTGTGAATATATATTTTTCAGTGAGGTTTAATAGGTATGCAAAATAGAAATGAAAATTGCCTTGTTAGAGACCCAATCACTGTAACAATATCAACTCAACTCCTTTATTGTCATCGTAAGCAATGCAATCAATGAAATTTGTGCCCTAACTAAGGGCAGCACAGCAGCATTGACACGTTAGTGCATCTTGGTGTTCAGAGCTCAGAAGGTCGTGGGAAAGAAACTGTCTCTGAATCGGGATGTGCGTGTTTTCATTGACCTGTAGTGCTTGCCAGAGGGCAACAGATCAAACAAGTGGTGAGCTGGGAGAGATGAGTCTTCATCTTGGTGTTCAGAGCTCAGAAGGTTGTGGGAAAGAAACGCATCTTGGTGTTCAGAGCTCAGAAGGTCGTGGGAAAGAAACTGTCTCTGAATCGGGATGTGCGTGTTTTCATTGACCTGTAGTGCTTGCCAGAGGGCAACAGATCAAACAAGTGGTGAGCTGGGAGAGATGAGTCTTGGCAATGTCCTCCAGTGATGGCAATGGGCATCCAATGATTTTCTCTGCTGTTTCCACCACCCTCTGCAGGGCTTTTTTGCCTGCTCCCGAGCAGCTTGCACACCATACAGAGATATAGTAGCTACTCGGTAGAAAGAAATCAGCAACCTCTCCACCATGTTATTCCTCTTGAGGACTCTCAAGAAGTGGAGTCTCTGATGAGCCTTTTTGACCACTGCCAAGGTGTTAACTGACCGATATGTAGTCAGTACTTGCAAGCTCTTCAGTCTTTTGTTTGTCTTCTTGTGTCCAGATATGGGGATGGATCTTGGGAAGAAAATAAGCGTTCCTAAGGACATCATGCTGGAGGAGCTGTCTTTTACCTCAAACCGGGGCTCCCGTCTCTTCAAAATGCGCCAGAGGCGCTCTGAAAAGTACACTTTTGAGAGCATCCAGAATGAAAACAACAAGCAGCTCAGTGTAAGCAGAAACTGATGTAGTCATTGCATTTGAAGGAACACATACAAAAGTACACATGCCCTGCAGACAGTACCCATTTATCAATTTATTCCATCACTTATTTGGATGAGAAGGAGGGATATGGTTAGCTTAGCTTAGTTTAAGGACTGGAGGCTGTTGGTGTAGTCTAGTCTAGCTGTTTCCTTGTTTCCAGTCCTTATGCTAAGATTAGCTCACTATCGCCTGACTTGAGTTTAGTGTCAGTCTTCTCATCTAATTGTCAGCTAGAAAAGTGAATATTTTTATTTCCTAAAATGCCACATTATTTTTAAATAGACAGTAGCTTGATGTGGATACAGGCAACAGTAAAACACACTTTGATAAAGGGGGTCATTGTAAATGGATCACAGTGCCAGAGCTCTTTCTTCACGTTATCCATTCACACCACATCTTTTTCCTCCATGACAAACATTCGCACAATGCTTTGCATCCTCACAACATATATGTGGGGAAGATTAAGCACTTGAAGTGTTTATACTCGCATGAATTGGCACAGAACAGTAAGAGTGAAAGTCTTCCAGCTGGTCATAAGTAGCTTTATTAATGTCCCTTTGTGTAAGGATAGGCAGTGTGCCAGGTCAGCAGTACTTATCTTAGCATGACCTGGTTATACATAAAGCAATTTATGCACCAAAGTACTCAGTGAAATGAAATCAAATTAATGAAGTTTCTCTTTCCTGTACCAAATTAATTAGCAGCCCTAGTTTTGCCCCCTTTCATTTAGTTGTGTGGTGGCCTTGTGTACTTCTCATTGCCCTCTTGACGTCCATAGATAAAATAATTATTACGCTCCAGGGAAGTTCTTCCTCTGTTCTTTGAAGTGAGAAGGACTCACATATCTCTGGTTTGTTTACCGCTTGGGGCAACAGAGGGATTTTGTTTCAAGTTGTCAACATTTCCTGAGGAAGTCCTGGAGTAAATCATCATAAATCTCTTTCAGAGGGATGGAAGCTGGATGCTTGGGCTGCAGTGCATTTCATCCCAGTCCAGAAAACAATGTTTCTTATGTTAAGGAGAAATGGACTGGAGCTTTCAGTCATATTACACAATCTTCCTCAGCAGAATGAGTTGCCCACTTGTCAGGGAAATGTAGATGTTAACATTAGCCATTTGTAGAACTGATCCTAAGCTCTGGTCCTTGAGATGAAACTATTTTGCAGACTACTGTTCACAATGTCAAGAATGAACTTTTAGTTTTAACAGACACATTATTGGATTTAAGATAATCTCACACTTTGTTCTTTCTTGTAGAGCACAGTGGTTTCTCAAATGGAGGATGCGAATGCCATTGACAGCCACATGGGCGAGACCAACTTGGGTGTTGACCAGCCACCTAAAGTGCCATCGGACACACCAGGAACAAGGGCGGTGCCAAATCCAGACAGTATCGCCCCAGGTAGGTAACACTGGTGACAGAATGTGCTGGGACACAGTTCAAGGACCTAAGAGCATTGCAGCAGTGATATACTGTAGCTAAACAAGCTGATGATAAGGTGACGTTACTTCTCCTATGGTTGTGCAGTTTTTTGAAACATTGCATTGTTCCTGATGCGTAGTGGGTGTGGATGTGCTCTCCACGAAGCTATTTTGATAAGGACCCAAATGTTTTTCATTGCTTGTGCTCACGCAGGCCTTCATCATGTAGGAGAACCTTTACTTCTAGTTTGGCCTCAGGCAGAGCATGATTACTGGCTTTTATTCTCCTTCTTTTTTATTTCTCTGACTATCTTCATCCCACTCTCGTCTCATGTCTCCACATCTTTACCCCTCCACTTTACAATCAGCTTTGACTATCTGAGTTTGCTACCAGTGGGAAGTGTTTCCTGTTTGCTTCCCGTGCCAGCGATGCCATCAGATTTGCACTCCCATACTCCCTCATGCCTCAGTTCTGTCCATTTGACACAAAACCGATTTAGGGATGAGCATGTCTATACAGGGGTGGGGTGTTATTTCAGGAGCACCACCCTTCAGTGTCTGAATGAAGGCACTCCAGCTGTAGGAGAAATCAGGCCAAAGAGCAACAGGTATCAAATGGTAAGAGCTCTTAAAATAGCGGAGTCATCCATCTAGGGGTGCATGTTCCATGTCCCTGTAGTGGTAGTAAGATTTTTACCAGGCTACTGGAAATGCAGATAGCACTTACATGAGCCAATAGTTGGTGGGAAATATGACAAAGGAAGGTTAATTTACCAGGAAGCATAGTGTGTCTGAGCAGTTTTGTGCTATTTTCCCCCAAAATATCAACTCAGTCAAATGCCCAACCACAAGAACAACATTCCATGGCCTCAGAAAAAGTTTGACAGAATGCTTTGAACTAGATTCCTCCCAAATCTGTAAACTTCCCCACAGGTCTGTTTGGTCTCTCCTGCTTCCTACTCACAGCAAAACATAAACTCAGGAAGGGGGATTGTTCATTGTGAGAAGTTAGGACATGACATGATGTTATGTAATGCCTCAGCTTGCAAGCCCCCCCTGAGTGAAGCACTGGGTTTGAAGGGTAGTGTTTTGGATAGGCCTTTCCCATCAACACACATACACAATGCAGGGAGACTTACAGTACACACAGGCATGCGCCTACACACACGGAGACACAGAGCTGTGAGCTGTGGCGAGGAATAAAGGGCTAAAGAAGAAACACTGGAGAGTATTGAAGTGTTGAGCACTGGCACTCGTATTAAGGAGTCTGGTAGTTTCTCTTTTCATTGTTTTCTACTTTTCCTTTTGAAATTTGACTATTGAATTCTTTCTCCTCTTTCATCAGTTTCACCATTTGTAACAGACACATACATTTGTCTTTCTACAGTTGAAAGGACACTCAGACATAATGCATTCCCTTGCTCCTTACAACGAAATCTAACGCCAAACTTTATTCTAACCCCAGCCTAAACTAGTATTAACGTTAACACTAAAACCACTGGATGCACTCACTCTTAACTGTAGGCATGACCAGCGCAGGGATCAGCTTTCTGTGGACAGCATGTTTACTTTCTGCTGCTTAAATTTCACTCTCAAACTCAACTTCTTTACTTAGGATGGCAGAATTGTTTTGGAAAACAATAGGAGCATTGAAACATAAATATAAAAAATTAAAATCAAAATGGAAAAGCTGTGTTGTTTGCCTCCCACAGGGTATGGAGGCCCTTTGAAAGACATCCCTCCAGAGAAGTTCAACAGTACGGCCGTGCCAAAGTCCTACCACTCACCCTGGATGCAGGCCATCATCACTGACCCAGCCTTAGCTGACACTCTCATCACTGGCATGCCTGAGCCAGAGCCCCGACCAGACCTGCCGGGGTACAAGTGTTTCAACAGGTAGCAACCACACAGCAAGTCATCAGTAAAAGTCCTCTAACCTGAACGACCTTACACCTAGGTCGTTTGCCTGTTCTGTTGAACCATATGAGGCAGGACGTATGCTGCTTAACTTATCAGCCACTAGAGGGCTTTGTAACTGGTATACAGACATTTTGGAGTATCGGCTGAAGGGAGTGATGACGTCTCACGCCACCGTTTCACTCCACTTAACAATGAAAGGTAACTCTGGGTTGTAATAAGCTGCTTGCACGAATGACCTCTGAGGTTGTTTTTTTTATGGGAGGACAATCTAATAAATACCGTCGGCTCTAAAGTGCCAACTTTAAAAAATTTGTATGAACATGTATATTTGTTATTTAAAGCAAGACCATGTAACTTTTGCTAAACAGTGTGACCACAAGTAGGAATTAGTTGCTGGAACACTGTGTAACAACATCACAAGCAGAGGAGACTCAAAGTTAGACAACTGACTCAGTAATGTCAGTTTTATAGAGCAAGTCTAAAGTTTGCCTGTGTTAGGCATCTTAAGCTACTATCACACCAACTATAGCAGAATGTATCTAAGAGTTGAATGATCAGATCAAGTATTGCGTACTATGCTTCTCGTTCTAAGCAGCTATACCTTTGAATATGTCCCCTGGTCAAAGTCTTGGCTTAGCTTTAATTAGTTACATCTCTTCAAATGTCACTGCAGTCCCTGGCTGATTGCCAGTGACTACTGTTAACACTGTCACTCCATCACCTCCAGGGTGGCAACCCCTTTCGGTGGCTTCAGTAAGGCCCCCAGATCAGCCCCCATCAAGCCTGTCCATGTGGAGCCCCTCCTCGACTTCCCTGAACTCCAGAGGGAGATGACAGTAAATCGACCCTCCTTCAACAGATCTGCTCGGGGGTGGGTGTCGGGGGATGGTCCGGCCCCCCTCGCTACAGTTTCCCTTGAACCTGCACTAATCCCTGAGTCAGAAGACCTTTGAACACACAGTGAAGTCATACAGAAATGCTGTCTACTGAGTTGTGGCAACTGAGGTTACAGTGGGAGGGCTAACTTTTCAGTGTGAACAGTCAGGGTGAGATAACGCCTCCTTTTAGGCGTTGCTAGTTGAAGTTACTATGTATGCAGCATCCCTTGGTTTTCCAATGATGTTAGCTATTGCACTACTCTAAAAAATAGACTAAGGATAAATTAATGTACAATAGGCAAATAAACTACTGGAATAAATGCAGTTTGTTGTATATTCGTATGCATATTTTCAGTGTTTTACTTTTATGCTTGAAGGTCTTTTTTGCAACATATTGTTCATAGAAATAATACACATTTTCTAGATGCTTCTCTTTTTGGTCACAGATGCAAATCTGGTGGTAGCAGCTGTACTGAAGGCTCATTTAAGTGAATGATGCTGCACCTGTGTGCTGTGTGTGATGCAAACCCATCACTTATCAAACTGTGTTTGTGAGAGGCCATAGATACACATGAGCCGCTGTAACACATCTCAAGGTTACACTGCTTCACTGACATGAGCGGGTTGACTGATGTGTGTCTCGCCCTTTTGGTTATGCCCAGTCAAAGACGTGTGCTTGGAGGAGGAGGAGGAGTTGCTTGATCAGCTGTGGCCACTCCTCATCTGTCTTTGTTTATTAGTGCGGCACTCAAGAATTTATCTCTGATGTAACAGGCTTAAGCAAACAGACTTTGCTGATTTTGCAATTAAAAGTTAAAAAAAAACATGTCGTATGTGGATGTCGTACATGTAAGTATATTCATGGATTTACAGTAGCGTAGATAAATACTGTATGCATTATCCCATTTAACTAAAGTAGCTCTTACAATCAAGCTAGCATGCTTGCCGTCTATGCTAATTGCTTATGTGAGTAATACAAAAATGGTGTGTACTCTACTTATAACACTGTTATACTGTCTCATCTGCCCCGGTAGTTGCTGATGGCCGCTGTGGATGAAAATAGTAAAATCTTCAGGAAGTCAAACCTCATCAGGAGAAAATCTAAAGAAACATTCATAGTTATATATAAATTGAACTTTTGGAGAGGCAAGAATGATCACCAAGCACCAAGGATTCCACCTGATTCTGCAGATAACCCGGCATCCGAAATAAATACTGAGCAGGGTTCATCAAAGGCGGGCATGAACTCTCTCTGAACTTTGATTGTAGCCATTATCAAAATGCAGCAATGGAAATATTATTGTCAGGGACATCACTGGGTGAGGGCTGGGGAGCCAGACAATTCAATTATTAGTCTCCAACTGCAGCCAGTTTCCCCTCAGGCATGTTTGCCTTGGCATGAGGTGGCAGAGTAGGCACAGAACACAGGAATATAGGCTGTGAGGCCTGGACAATCTAGTGCCTTGTTGGTTTGAGACTCTGTCTCTGAGCTGAACGGTTGAAGTTGCAGCAGCCAACTAGTGACCTTGAGAAAGAGATTAAACCCACCCGTGTGTAGTCCTAAATCTTTGTGGATAAGACCATCAGGTGCAGTGTCAGGATAGAATGTTGGAGTTTCCATGAGCTCGAATATTGTGCACTGCTTTTAGAAAGTGCATTTGAAGAGGGAGAAACAGCACACAAGCACCTGATAGAAGATAAGACTGGAGTGACTGCTTGTTACGTAAGAACGCTGATAAAGACAGGATCATTTTGTGTTTAAGGTGCAAGGAATGATGTCAAACTCAACTAAACTTCATCTTTTGTTTTAAACTCTGAAACTGAGCTCAGCCCGTAACTGAGCAGCTGGTCTTCAGTATCTTTATCAGCAATTAACAATGAACTCTGCTGCTGTTGCTTTCACTGTCAAGTTGTAAAGCTCAGGTCCCTCAGGTTTCCATCTGCACACACAGCACTGAATGTGCAGCTTGCTCTTGACACAGACAACTGCTAAAAGCTTGAGCCACATGAGCTGCCAATATCCCAGAAGGATTTCTATAAGTATGCAAGGGTCAAGTGAGACAACAAATGTGATGTGAACTAAAAATTGCAACAGCACTGAACTGTGCTGAGAGGGAGACATATGGTTCTGTCAAAGGTTTTAGCAGACAGACACGGTTTTGAGGAGTTCACAGTCAGATAGGTGGAGTTTATGCTCCTTGAAATATTGTATAAAAGTGCCCTTGACATAAAATCAAATAGCTGTAAAGCACAGCTATTCTACAGTTTGCCAACATTTTACTTCGTCTTTCTCATCTGAGGACATGATGGCTTAGTGCGGCGGATGTGTGCAGCAGGTGATCATTCTTATAGGGATATCTAAAAATATAAAGCATCCAAGGGGTCAATAGGGTGGCGCTGGGTTGCCAGTGAGGTGATGTGAAGGGCGACGGGACTCACATTCCGCTAATGAAATGAGGTGAAATGATGCAGTGGCTTGAATCATGGTTCGCCTGGAGAAATCTTTCAACCTGTAACGCATGAGTAGGGTGATGTGGATGTCTGAGTACTGTACGTGCACGCTGAATGATGAGTATACTTATTTTTCTGTGTGTGCATGCATTATTTAATTGGATGGGCTCAAATGCGAACACCAGAATAAATCTATTATCCTTTAGTATAAATAAATGGATTGTAGATGAATACATATTCAATGAGTGCAGTGAGGTTAAGTAAGCAAACATTCACTAGGTTAGAAGCCACTTTACAGAAGGATGCACACATCTATGCTTGTAATTAGCCTGTTTGGACAAATGAGCATTCAAGATTGTGTTCCTGTTGACTTGCAAAAGCTCTGGAGACCAATTACAGCTGTGCTCTCTCCCACAGTAATCCAGCCTCTGACTTTTACCTCAGGGAGCTTGTTCTTCACTGGTCAGTGTATGTCAGCCTCCTAACTTTGGTTAGTAGTCAGTGAGGAATTATTAACACACAACTGCTAACACAACCAATTAGTAAACAAACTGTAGCAGAGACCTTCGGGTGGAAAGCAGTACACCCTTTTCTTATGTAATGTAGCTGGGAAAGCTCAGAAAGTGGCTTTAAATGTTCTTAATGTGGAGGTAGGGTCTGATTTTGATGATGTTGCCAAGGAAAACAATAATTAATGTGTCTTATCTTATTCAGTGAAGGGTGTTACTTTGGCTAACAGACAGTACTGAGGCAATAGCATGCTCTTCCTGTGCGAGGCAGCTACTGTGGATACGGCAAACACAGCAGTGAAATCTATCACAGTCATCCCTCTGGCCGCACTCCAGAATTAATACAGCGTGGTCAATTGCCAAAAACCAAATGCTGAAGTCATCCACTTTTTTCCAGTAAAATGTTCACAGTCCTGCTCAGAAAGTAAATAAATACAAATGACTAAAAAGTCAAATAAATGTTCCTTCCTCTTGGATGAACAGAATCTCTTACTTGCTCCCAGGGCATATTATGAACCATGCCACAAGCTGGGACATCAGGTTCTGTTTGTGATAAAGCTAAGTCATCACGAGTGCACACACATACCATTCCAGTGAATAATATACTGTACAGTGTCTAATCTCAACAACAGCGCAGTCACTTCTGTGCGGTTCCTCATTAGTGGTAATTCAATAGCAACACAACACTTTGTGCAGTTTTTGCACAAAGTGAAAAAAAAGGCATTTTCATTTAACTTTGATTGATGAGCTCAGTTCAAACTCTTAGCATAACGTAGTTTGAATTAAATATCCCATATTTATTTGTGTTGCGTGGTCAGGAGAACTTGTGTCCTCATATTACTTCATTAGTACAAACTGTTCCATTTGAATTATTTGCATTTCCCATGATAGCACACATGTCCATGTTTGGGCGTGCATGCATATACAAGCATGCACACAAACTAGGGCATTTATTACCCAGGCTGAGACAGGAGCAGATTAAGTTTACATTTTAATTAGACACTTACATTTTTCATTTGCACTACAGCAGATGAGACGCGCAGTAGAATAAGCTGCAGTTTTACTCATTCAGATTGATATTTACGTGCACTGTTTGCCCACTGTCCTCTCAGAACAACTGGAAATGATTCACTGTGATGAATCAGTTCATTTCTTCTAAATGTCACCATTTTGTTGTTTGTTATGCACTGTCTTAGTGTGAAAAGTAGCACAGTGAAAACTTTTAAAATAAATGTTTCTGGAATTGTTGCCCCCACTTTTTCTGTGTGTCTCTAGGCTACTGAGCACAATAAGTATGGATTGAAAAGCCAGACAACAGTACTAAAAATATGCCCACTTCAAATGGCACAGCACATTTGGGGTAAGGAGTTTAGCTGCCCAGTGACCCAGTCATCATCAATAATGAATCAGTCTATCAGAAGAGGCACTGGTAACCTGTTGGTTATGTGGAGGCGGTGAAAGAAAAAGATGTCACCATATAGTATGTATACTCCTCAAAGCTGATAGTGTTGTTGCTGGTGAAAGTGCAAACAGGCAAAGAGACGACACAGGGTTGTCATCTCAGCTGTGTTATTCGTTGTTTCAGCAAATCCTTTACTCTTCACCGGGGCTTTCTCGAGCTGAGAGGTCAAGGCGATGGCTCCAGCTCTCAGTGGGACATTTATTATGTGTGAGCTGGCACGGTCTGGCTAATTCATTTTAAATTACAATGCCCTTCACAACAGAATCAACTCTGTGCAGGACCAATGTTTTGCTGAGCTGTTAGATGTGAGATCAAGAAGAACAAGATCTTAACATTAGCCAAGGTATCAAAGAGAATCTGACTGAAATACTTAAGCTGCCAGTACAAGCAGGTTATGGACAAGCAGATGCATCAAAGGGCAAAAATGAATAAACCATATCCAAAAACCAATGAGTCACTATTCTGGAGAAGTCACCCAGAGTGCATCCCAGCCAGGCAACAATGTGTCAGTGCAATGATACAGTCATTTTTAGACTTCTGGCTCAGGGTGTAGCAGCAGTTCTGACAGGGCACATCTTGTCAGACACAGCAGCTGGATCACAAGTTGTCCAGCAAGGTCAGAAAAAAAAAAAGTTTACGTTTGTGCAACTTGTTAAAGTCCAGTATTATAATGTGCATCTTCTCTGTGTGAGCTCAGAGTGTCACACTGATAACAGATCTGTTAATCCAGTCCAAGGCATTTTGAAAACCAACAAACAACAACAGCAAAAGTCTTAATAGGGTGGCTGTGGCTCAGGAGATATAGATAAAAAATTTAAATATCAACCCGATACCGCGCCTAAAACTTTGTTGGGTGTTTCATTTCCCATCATTTAAGTGTGTACATCGAGTTATAAAGTGAGATCATTAAATCTCACATCACCCTAATTTGTTTATATTTTAAGAGGAAGCATTATATGTCTGCTGAGGAATGGCATCATCTCCTTAATGGGCCCTTCTTCACTGGGCTGGGTCACACGGACACACTGTGACCCTGTAGTGCACAGTCCATCACTGCACATAGCTTCCTTATCCTAATTAATGAAGAAACCGAAACCCTGTTGGACAAACGACCTGGGTACCCTTGATTAGAAGTTTATCTAATGATGGATTTACACTTAATTTAAAGGTTTTGAAGACAGAGGGGTGAAACTGTGGGTTTAGATGAGGTACACGTTGTAAATTAACTGGTTTGGACTTAACTGTTTTAGAGTGCTCACGCATGTACACGCTCACACAAAGTGGGCCATATTTCTCATTTATGATTAGGATTATAGTTTTGTACATAAATGGGTGGTGCTGAAACTATTTAGTTTATGGCTCTATAATTATATCTGATACAATATAAACTACTTTGGAGGCATTTCAAGCTATTTAAAAATAATAATAATAAAATAAAATGAATCATAATAACAATAATAATCATAAGAAGTATTATGATTATTATAACAAATCATACTGTGAAAAGCATGACCTTAAACATCATAGGGCTGCACTCGGTACTCTTCTGATTTACATTTACTTTCTTCCTCTGGCAGTAGCTCATAATGATCAGTGGTAAAATTGTCACCACCTTCTTGAGGTAGTCCAAGTCAATGTTTACCACCCCTAAACTGGAAGTTTAATCATTGTCCACCATTACTGCAATGCTCCATTAGAAAATGCATTCATGTCTTTATTTTTTTTATGTATTTATTTATTGGGTTTATTGAGACATGTTGGCAGAACAATGTATTACTAATATATAAATGCATTTTAACTGATTCACTTTCCACTTCCAAACCTAATTTTAAGTATGCTGTGATGAGGTTTTGCAGTAGCAGTTGCACTGTAGTGGGCTATACACTGCACACCCCTGCACCATAAAGCAACATCATCGAAATGTTGGAGTGTGTGTGGTGGCTGTGGTAGTGTTGTACAGTAGCATGGCAGACTGCGGTAAATACAGTGTTGAAGAGGCGGGGTTTGACATCTCCGCTTTGAAAACATCCCTGATCCAGTATTTCAGGTGCTGAGGTCGCCGGAGCGCGCACTGCTCACTACCGCCGCGCGTCAGTGAACTGCAGTAAAACCGGACGCCTCTAAAAACCGGAGTACACAGCAAGCGGAGCCAGTCGGCTGCTGTGTCCGAAGTGGATTTTTACGAGATAAGAAATCCCACCAAAGCCTGTGGAAGTGAAGTTTCAGCGGCGTAAAGACGACACGTAGTTTTCTGGTTGGCGTTTTAGTTTCCAGCCTTTCTCCATTAAGTAACCAGAGACTCCTGAGGCTTCCTCCCCCCGAAACTCAACCAGAACACTGCAACTCCTGGATTTAACAACACTGAAGGATACTGCCGCACTTTGGAGTGTTGTTGTTTCTGGGGTGAGTGGCTTTTTATTTGAGTTTGACATAAGTAGCTCTTCAAACTTCCCCAGGTTATTTTCTCCCAGCAGTCGCCTGCGTGGGGCGGAAGTGGTGCTTTACCTGGAGCCCAGGTGAGTGGCCTATAGCGTCAGTCGGCCATGTAGCTTTAGTCAGTACACTTATTATGTAACAAAATACCGTGCGTAAATGTTTAACACCAGGAGTCTTGTTTTAGCGTTTTGATAGCTTGTTTGCTAAAGTTTATTTGTATCTTTTTTCCAAAGTCGCCCGTGGTCAGCTAGTTCTCCATGGCGGATTCTCATGAAATATTAAAATATGTAGCTAGTGTAACGACAATGAGGCTTTAGCGACTACCCGTGTAAAAATATGAGCTCTGCGATATCTTTTACAGTGCTGCCAGTTGCTCCTGTTGTGGACTGAGAGGTTTCATATTGCGCAATTTGGCACACGTAAATTTTGGGACAAAATATTCAGAAATGTATATAGGAGCATATTCAGAGCCCATTGGCCGACCCCCTTTTTTTTTAACTGGTTTCTCCCACTTTAATTCCTTCCAGTGATAAGACCCCTGAGCTGCACCGTAGTCACATCAGCACAGTGACGTAGCAGTGAGATAATCAGCCCTAAACCTCATTTACGCGCATTCCTTATGTGTTCCTTTGGGACTAAGTTGTTAAGGTAACTATGGAGGGCATGCTGATGAACCAGTCTGAACTGTAGGCCTTCTGTCGCCTCCTTATTTACAGATGTGCAGAAAGCAGCACATGGAAAGGAGCTACTTGTCTCAGCTTGCTTTCAGTAGAGTTTCCCTGTAAGCTTGAGTCTGGCAGCTGGGTGTGTTTAAAACACCTAATCCATTTAGCGTTTTATGTATTCCTTTTAAAAAAAAAAAGGAAACAAATGAAGGAAAACAATGTTTATGATCGCCATCATCACACTTAGTATTTGTTGGCAAGCTCCTGTCAAGTGGGAAAACATAAAGGAAGCAATTATAAGAGCAGAGAGGAGGATGTTGTGTTTCAGACTTTCATCTGTATGAAATCCTGAAACATGATTTTGTTCTCCCCTTGTCCTTCTGCTGGATGCACTAAGGAATAATGGGTGACTCAGTGTGTTGTGGGTGACCTGTTCAGTTTCACAGGGTGGAACACGGTGACCGTGTGCTGGAAAGCGGACCTTAGAGCAGGAAGCCTTCACAGGAAGCGACTGCTGCATTGTTGCCCGAAGGCTCAAGCCATGTCTGCTGTCCTGAGGGAATTTTACAGCCAGGTTTCACTGTTATTCTAGCACGCAGGGACACGTTTTATTGCCTCTTCATCCTACAGGCAGTGGTTTATTGTTTTAAAGTATGTATATTTTCATACTTTGGTACATTTGCCAGGTCCTGACTGCCAATTAAGATAAACAGACTGACAAAAAGCCACTCTAGTAAACGATATAAAATCAAAACATTGTGTAGACAGTGCAGTGGAGAGACCGTGTTTGTCCTAATGTAAGACACTGAGTTTACCACTTTATTAAAAACACAGTGAAAGTGGAAATGTAGTAAGTCTGAGTTGGAGGGAGACGGCTGCACGACCAGTCTCATAAATATGAGTTCATTTCTGCATTTAACATGTGAGTCAGACTTGTAAGATGTTTACAAGGCTGCACCCAAAATAGTGCCATTTTAAATTTAGATTTTCTTTAACCCAACACTAACTCAAGACATGGAAAATGTCAGTAACTGCCCACATGTTGGTTGTCAGTATGGCCCCGGTGAAGCATTTTCACTTTACCGGTGGGTAAGGTGCATCTTTAACTGAAGTAGAGCAGCCTCAGAAACTGCAGTTTATAACCACAAACACAATACAGTGTGTTACCTTGCTCCGCATTTTGGTTCCATGCATTCAGTAAAATACTTAAGGATTTTATCCCCCAAGTAATTTGTATTTATAGATACTGGCTCAAAAATCATCTAATATAGAAAAAGGTTTTTACATAAACCTTTCTGTAAAACATTAGTGTTTTTTGTTGCTCTGGCAACAGTTTTACCATCTAGTGTCAGGCTTTTTCTTAAGCATCACATCTGTCTGTGTGGGTGGCTCAAGTGTAGGGGTGAAAAGGTGGAAGCAGATTTTACAGCTGTCACAGGACAGAGAAGTGTAACTCAACATAACCAAAGTTGTTTGCCTCACAAATTAAAATTGAGGAGGAAGTCAGGAGTTGCTGTGTGATTTGTAAGCTGTTCAACAGCGAGGCAGAGTTGAGGAGTAATGGGAGAGAACCACCACCTGTGAAAGTTGCTGTAGGGCATGTGTTTTATCAAGTAAAAGGTGGATAAAATATTTATTTAAAGGCTATGTACGCCCCACAAGCAGCTGTGAGTGTTAAGGTGGTTTGAGTGAACTGGAGAGAACTGCCAACTTGTATTATGATTTTTGGAAGCTGAATTGTTCTAACAAATGCCTCTTTGTATGCCTTGACTACTGCTTCTCTTTTTGTGCTATTTGTCTGTTTTCAGATCTTAGACTTCGAATGAGTATGATTCAATTTACCACAGATTGATTCATCAGAGTCTTTCAGCATATATGAGACCAACTGAGTCACTGTTAATGATG